TAGAGTTTCTAAAGGACGTCTGTTTCCTTTTTTCTTTTAGATATTAATTTTTCCACGTGTCATTTCTGGTAAGAATGCAGTTTTATATTTGATACCAAATGGTTCAGCCTTTTCAATCCGGACCCATCTCATTGTCAGTCAGTTAACTGGTTCATCTTCGACCCTTTTTATCCTGTTAGTTTTTCTAAGTTTTCTGTCGAATGAAAGTCTTCATGGTTCGTTTCTGTGAGGAAATACTTGTCTTCCTGCAGCTGAGAATGATATTATACCAATTCCTCAAAGAAAAAATGTGGTTCCAAGTTTTTTTCTTTTTTCAATAACGCAAACATCTGAATCGTTCGGAAGGTAATTGTATTCTGCTTTAATGAACTTAAAGTCAATAGTTTCAATATTACGACTCTGATTTGGGGTATATTTCATAAGCAAGAGAACAATTTTGATGTTGCTGTTTTGACCGCCGTATGAGTCAGAGTACATGACTTTGTGTTTGACATTATTGCTATTTCTTGAATGAAATAAGAAAGTAAACTTAAGAAATGCCTCATACACAAACCCTGTAAAGTTGGGTCACACGACACAGTTCAGTTCAATTAGTCCTGTTAAAAATTGGCCGTCATGGAGTCAAGGAGTTAATCACGCTGGCCACCGAAACCAATGATGCAATGTTCATTTGCCACAGAAGTTAGGGAATTCTAATGTAAAACCTCTTAAATATGGAGTTTGTCCTCTCGAACACTGACAGTTACTTATGGAACACAACCATGTTATTATTCACAATTTTAAAAAATGTAGTTAGATTGGTTTCTGAACGCCTCATATATTAAGTTTACTGAGAATTAAGTTGACATATTTTATTTCCTCATTCAATATTATATTTTTAGGAAGACACCGAAAATAATTTTAAACTATGTAATTTTCAAAAATCAGGGATTTTAACGAAATTAGAGCTGCAAAATTCTTTTAAGCGGTCTCTGCGCTATCCATGGACAAAGTTCAATCACGAACTTTAGAGTCATTTTTGAAAAGTTGAAAATTCATGTAAAGTACCAGCAAAAATCAAAATATCCATTTTAAACTCAGAGGGTCTCGAGTCCATTTAAATAGAGCTGGAAATATTACTTTGGAGAAAATCGTCTAAACGGTTTAGGTGCTAGCATTGACCACAGACAGTCGTTTTGCTATCAGTCGATTTGTGGGTGTCAAGGACCCACAAAAAATGAAATGATTACACACAGTGTTAGAGGAAGTAATTTGCAATATATACTTGTAGTAACAAGTTTTTCGTTTCCAAGGCCTGGCAATAAGAGTTTTTCTGTCGCTACGTCGCGATTTTCCGGCGCACGATACGGCGCCGAGGAAATGTAGCAGTCAAGAAGTACTGTAAACAAAGTACAATAATGAAATTAAAAGTTGCAAATGCATTATTTAATTCTCTGAAAAGTATACTGTCTAATCAAATAAAAATTTTCATTGTTTGTATATGGCAAACAAATTTTCGAAACTTATCGGATAACAAACTCGTATTTTCATTTTGCAGGAATAAGAAAAGTATGCCACGCATTTGGTTTTTCCTTCTCGTCCTTACTTCTCTAGATGATAGAGTATTGTAATTGCGCGGGAAATGTGGAAAACGTCGAATTTTCGATAGGAAATCTGCTTATTCCGGTCCCTGGTACTGAAAAAGTGGATAAATCTTGATTTTACTGTGAATGCGTTAAATAATGAAAGTAACTGAAAGCGTATGTTAAAATCCAAGAGGTTACGTTGTAATATATAGTCGGTTTATTAGACATCGACGTAGGGATCGATGTATACCGCTTCCTAAGATAGATGAGCCACGAAAATTCGGATAGAAAAAGCGATAAAACGTTTTGAGATACACCACTCTGATTGAGACATTTTGTATGTATAGTTAAACACAATTGTTTTTAATTTAACGAGTGTAATAGTCTCAGTAATTAAATTAAATTATATTACCCTTTACCCTTTTCTGCATTTATCTATCAAGCAGAAATACAAATTTCTCATTGAATTGATTTTTGAGTAAGAATCTAGCAATATTTTTGTAAAAATCTAAACAGAAAATTATTTTTCAATTTTCTTCTGTGGTTAAAATACACACAAAAAAATGAAAATTTTCATTATTGGAAAAATATTTAAAAGGAACATTTGGAGTTCTGAGACGCACTTAGCAGTTTAATTTGACAGATTATCAGGAAGATAACAATGTATCGTATATTTTTTGGAAATTAAAATTTTTGATAGTCTAATTTCTGGTTTATATCCAGCAACTCTGTTGAACTTCAAGCCATTAAAAACTACTAAAATAAATAGTTTGTAATACAAATTCTTCTTCATATTTTTGTAAAGCCAATACCACCTCGGCAATTAATCAATATGGATGAAAATAACTTACTCATAATTTAGTTTCTTGTAACAGTTTTAAAAAAATTCAGGGTGTAATATTTTTCAAATGCTTTTGCTTATTTTCATGTATGATACTTTCATGCTTGCTTACATTCATGCAATGATATATCGTGTACATCTTGGACGCTGTATTGCCAATTGATGAGACAATCGCTTTCTAATCTTCTCAGAAAAGGAGACTACAGTGCACATGATGGAGTACAAAATTAGCGTTGCCTATATTATGTTATCGCTTGGTAGCAACCGCGCCTCGCTGCTTCGAGTCAGCAGCGCCGAGCTGAGCGCAGCCTTTGTAATTGGCGCCTCTAAGAGTAACGCCCGCCCCTCCCCTCCCCAACCCACACTTCCCCATCTCCC